GAAGATGTCTGCTGGGTCTCCCTTAATCACAGCAACACCAAGTGCCTGTTGGGTAACCCTGCCTTCCTCTATCTAGCACAGCGGTTCTCAGCCTGTGGGTCGCGACCCCTTTGGGGGTCGAACGACCCTTTCACAGGGGTTGCTGGGTTCATAACAGTAGCAAAATGACAGTGATGAAGTAGCAACAAAAATAATTTTATTTTGGGGGGGTCACCACAACATGAACTGTATTAAAGGGTTTGCTGGGTTCATAACAGTAGCAAAATTACAGTTATGAAGTAGCAACAAAAATAATTTTATTTTGGGGGGGTCACCACAACATGAACTGTATTAAAGGGTTACGGCATTAGGAAGGTTGAGAACCACTGGTCTAACCAGATTTGTGAGTTAGAACTGGGTCATGGTAGTGGGGAGGAGGAAGGATTCAGGAACTGGAGGAATGATGTGTGATTTGTGGGTGCTACACTACACTTTGGTCGAGTCATCCCTTCCTTATACCACTTCTGTGGGGGAATATCCAATTATCTACAGATGGTTTTTGGGTCTCCACACCAAACCCCTGCTTTTGCATTGATAGAGTTTTATCTTTTGATACCTGTTGCATGATCACAGAAGCTGGTGTGCTTCTTCCATGTGGGCTTATTTGCTCCCCTGCTAGACTCCTGCTTGTTTGACTTCAATCCTTTAGACCCCCAGATGCTACATCTTTTGATAGCTGGGCACCATCCACTCTCTTCGCCACATTTGCTTATGCATCCATTTTGTCTTCAGCGATCTTGTCGGGAAGGTGCACATTATGTATAACTATTGATTAATTTTTCCCCTTGTACATTGTTACTCCTACCCATGCCCACTGGCAAGTAGATGTGCCACATGTAATGGTCATTTTCATTCAAGAAGTAATCTTTCATTTGGTTTGTACTGAAGAAATAAGAACTCTCAGCTAGACCGATTTAGTATGGAGGCAATCTTGCCATTATCTTCTTAGTTCTTTCCCTAAATAGGGTGACTACGTGGGCCTGAATATGACTATTACTCTAAGAAGTTGGGTACCAATAAATCTTACAGGAGAGACAGAGATCCTTGGATGCTTATACTGTTACTTTCCTGATTTTTGATCAGAACATAAATCTATTTGCCTAAATGATTAACTACTAAGTAAGACGAGAAGTCAGAAGCAACTGGATGGCAGTGAGTGAGGAGCAGGGCTCATAGTGTTGC